CAAAATTTCATATTTTTGTTCCATAAGTCATATTGATTGCATTTCTGTCACATGAATTAGATAGTTTAAACAGATTTAAAGTGTTTAGTATTTATTTTCAATGAAGGTGCTTTTTTAGTATATGGACTTTTATTTTAACTACCATCCATTAAGTTTACTTTCTTTGAAATCCTGTCTTCTCTGTTTCCACTGACTTATAAATTGTGGATCCTAACACATATAAATTATAACCTTACATATTTTTCAATTTTTATTAGCCCATAAATATCTCAAGATAAATTTAATAGATACTTATAAAGTAAGCAAAGATTATATTAAATAAGTAAATAAATAACTGCTATATTTATTTGAAAGACAGAGTTATAAATAGAAGAAGGGAGAGACACAGAGAGAAAAAGGTCTTTCATCCTCTGGTTCACTCCCCAAAAACCTGTAATGGCCAAGGCTGAGCCAAGATGAAGCCACAAGACTGGATTTTCACTCAGTCTTCCAAATGAGTGACAGGAACCATACCACTTGGGCCATCTTTTGTTGCTTTTCCAGGCATATTAACAGGAAGCCAGATCAGAAGTGGAGCAGCTGGAACTCAAACCAGCACTCAAATGGGAAACTCGTGCAGCAGGTAGCAGCATAACCCACTAGCCTCTGCACCCGATGCTTGTCAGTAGGCAGTGCAATGTAATTTGGAAATAGGTGAACCTGGACGTGTTGTGGCAGTTGTGGACATCCACTGTGTGATGCTGTGCCATCATTTGTAGTATTGTGCTGTGTACTTAACATTGTAAGAGAGTTCTCTTATTATGTGTGCCTCCTGCAGTTTTTAAAGTAATAACAAAGAAAAAGAAATTGGACACAAAAGGACCCTCTCTTACAAGTCTAGTCAACATTCCAAGAGTGTTTGATGATCATCTAGAAAATTGCAACAAGCTAGTTAATAATTGTAGGCCACAAAGCCACATAATGAAGTTGACATTTAGAAAGCTTACTCTGAAAATGGCATAGAAAAAAAAATGGGTCTGGCCCATATGCACCCATGAAAACTTAGGGAACTTCTGAGGCTGGAAGTGAGTTCTAGGGAAATCAATAGGTCTTTGGAATAGATGCAGCCAAGAGGAACAAGGTTAACAAAAGTGATGACCCTGTGGCGTGCCCTTAGTGGTGTGTGTGTTATTCAACCATTTTTTACAACCAAGTGCCCAAGGTCAGTTTCTTGCAGAGGAAAGAGGTAAATGAACTCTGTCCCACAGTGTTGGAGGATCACAGCTCAAATCAGGTGGCTCCACTGGCTCAGCATCCAGTGGTAGCATTCTTGTTAGCAGAATCCCAAAGTGGCACAAATTATCACACGACAGGTGACAAGAGCATATGTTCCATTCTTTATAAAGCAATTGTGATTCAATCACAGGTCCCACGTAAAAGCTTATCCAATCTGATCACTTCCCAAAGAGTCCCATCTCTAAACTGGACTATGTGTTCATCCTTGTGGTACCATTAACACTAAAACTTAAGAGACCAAGCCTTAATGTCTGTTTGTGCAGGGGACTCCTCATTAATGTCAAACTGTGGTGATTGTCAAGTTGTTTATGGCTCCATTAGCTCAGATAGAAAACACTGGGTGGGAGCGGATGAAAACCATGGGAGAAATGAAATGTACAAATATCTTCATTGTAAGGGGCTTGGACAATATCCAGTGAGCTGGTCCTCTCACTCTAGGCTGGAATACAGGATAAGAATCCCATTTGCAAGAAGAGGAAAACAAAGTTCAGGAGCCTACAATACACTAAAATGACTTCACTTCCCAAGAAAGGGCTTTGTGCCAGATCAGGAAAGAGTCAGGCTTGGTTGACTGTCCCTACTGGTGCAAGCATAAATCAGAATGGGTGAGGGTTGGTTGGGCTTTGCCACAGTGTCAGCTGGCAGATGCTGGTACTGAGGGCTAATTCTGTCAAGTTCAGCTGCAGAATCACCTGGAGAACGCATGGTCCAGGAGTGGGAGTGGGCCCAGAAGGGAAATAGTGGGCACCTCCCTCTTGGCTTATCACTCCCACTGGAGAGCATGAAAACCAGGACTGGAGCAGACTTGGCTGGTCAGAAAGACACCCACCAGCATATGTGTGGGCTGGATAGTAGGCCCGATTGGGTTGAACTAGGCTTCAATGCCCATTGATATGTAGAAGAGCTGAATGGGATGTGGGACAGACTGGACGAGTCAGTGGCACATACAGGCAAGCATGGAAACCAGGGCAGGGGGCAGGCCTGGTGGGTGATATTGTGGGTCGCTCCGACTAGGCTACAGCTCCCACTGGTTAGTGTGGGGGCCGAGTGTGGTATGCAGAATCAGGCTGGACTGCAACACCTATTGCTTCATGTGGAAGTCAGGGCTGGAAACAGAACTGATTCAGCAATTGCAACTACCAGCTGATTGGGGACAACCGACTGTGCCAGGTCCATTACCGGCAAAAATACACATGAATCATTTCTGGGATCACCTGAGACAAAGTTTCTTTGAGGATCTCCCCAAATGAACTGTTGAACTCAGAACCCCAACATGAAGAGAAATGCAGGTTACATAGTCTGCCGCAAGTGCAGTGGACAGCATATCCAGGTGCACATATAAGATGTGGCAGTCCATCAGAACCTGCAGAGGACACCTGGCACCACAACAGAGGAGAGAGGACAGAACAAATCAGTCAACTACACCAGCCATCTGCTGGCAGTGAAAATCTGGACAAATGGAAAATAAAGTGGGCTGTGTCAACCAGTGGATTCTGCAGCGATTTCATCATGCTTAGAATGGCGAGACTGACACCAATTCAAAACTGTTGAATTATCAAAACCACTTGAGCAGGACCCTCGGAGCTTGCCCCATGTCAAGGACCTGGGATGGATGGGAGGCTGAGTGGGGCTTCCCCTTTTATCTCCACCTTTGCCCCAGAAACAGGGGGGAAAAAAAAGCAATAATATGGAAACAATAGCCTCACTCACTTACCTGTAGCCCTTGAGCCTTTGTACCTTAATCAACCATGTAAAGATTGTCAAAAATAAAGGAAAGGAAAAAAGAGGGGCTTTATGGGTCTGGTCTCAGGGATGACGTAAGCATGTAGACGTATAGGTACAGACTCCAGTAAAAGTTTTAGAGATAACCAACTTTCCCAGGAAGACTGTAAGAAGTGAAAGGGGTATTTAGTGAAGAGCTCTGAGGATGTCCGGTGTCCCCTAGGCTAATGTCCTATGGAGCAGCTCTGAGGATGTCCGGTGTCCCCTAGGCTAACGTCCTACGCAGCAGCTCTGAGGATGTCCGGTGTCCCCTAGGCTAATGTCCTACGCAGCAGCTCTGAGGATGTCCGGTGTCCCCTAGGCTAATGTCCTATGGAGCAGATTCATAGGACCCAGGTGGCAGCAGCAGAATGGGAACTGTATAAGTTTGACACAGAAGTGGGACTTCAGGAAGAGGAAGACCCACATGTCCACCCACAGATCAATTACAGACATCACCAGGAGCCTGTTAGAAACACAAGACCCCAGGTGGCTTGGGTGCATGGCACAATGGGAGATGGCCCAGTGTCCTATCGAGAGCCCAGAACCAAATTATCTTTACATTGACTTTGTACAGGACGGGGGAATGCCAAATGTTCTGTCTGCTCCACCTCAAGGTGTCCTGCACAGTGCTGCTTATCTCAGAGGGCCAAGTGGCTCAGGCAGCACTGTCAGTTCTCAGAGACTGCTACCAACCACATCCACGCGTGTTCCCCAGCAGTGATTCTTGCATGGCCCGGAAGTCAGAACTCCCTGAGACCAGGCCCCTCTCTGTTCCCCACAGGTAGCACGATGGTTCGGATAAGCCTACCTCAGCTTTGGGGTGGCTGTTAGAACCAGCATGGCTGGAAAGCTCCATCGCCTCATCCAACTGCCCAGCAAAGCTTGCCCTGTGGGGCAGAAGTGGAGCCAGAGCATAGTTCCCCTAGCTCCCTTTCTATACAAGGCCACTGTGACAGACATCAGCCCCACACTTGGGGAGGAAGAGTTGGCTGTCCTTCCGGAGTTTCACTTGGAAGCCTGTGAGATGGAGCGCCATCCCACGGTCCATGACACACAGAGAAGTGGCACCTCCCTCCTTCCCTATGCCTGTCTCACAGAACTGCTCCACTGAGCTCACAGACGGAACCAACTGTGCTTCCTGCCAGGTGCCAAAATCATCAGCATTTGAGAAGGAAAAAGAAGACAGTGAATCCTGGAGCATGACGAAGGAGTGAGAACAGCGACGGTGTCAGCTCAACAGCTCTCAGCGTCCACCCACTCGCATCAGCTGCAGCCAAGGGAACGGGAGCAGGGATGGCATCTGGCCAGCCTCAGGTCCCACAGAAGGCCACTGATGGATCACCACCTGCTCTAATAAGTCCCAAACAGCTAAAATGCAGGATTTTAGTGACAGTCCTGGCGAAACAGTGCTTCTTGAAGGCTGTAGATGACAGCTATGGAAAGGGTTAGGTGGACAAGGGGGAGGTGGCCAACTACGGTAGTTGAAACTCAGTCTCTGCACAAAAAGGTTCAGAAAAGGTCTCTGGGCAAGCTCTGGGTGGATGAGTCTGACCTGGGAGCCTACCAGTGCCCAAGAGCAAGCCTCACTCCTGGTGACTGCCATGCTTGCCTTCCTTCCTGTGGACTTGCTCCTCTGCCTCACGTGGAGGAGAGAAGACACAGATGATATGAGCAGGTTCATTCTGATTCCTGGGCTGGTTCTACTTTCTTGTGCACTGTGGGGTGTCGCTGCCAGGAGAGCAGTGAGCAGGATCTGCTGGCGGTGCTTATGCACAGCTACCTCCTTATCAGAACAAAGATTGCAGATGTTGGTTAAATGTAGCCATCTGTTAGCGAAGGTCAGATTCTGTCATTGAGCGTTACTCCTAATCTTCTGCCGGGAAGAACCTTGCTGATTCTTTTCCTGCCATCAGTTGGGCATCCTCACCCCGCTGAACATGTCCTTGCTGTTTGCATTTCAGATGGGGATCCACAAAGTGTTTCTAAAGCACTGGCATACAGACCAGCTCAGCGACCTGTGCCTACAGCTGCAGAGAAAGATCATCACCTGTCAAAAAGGTAACCATCGTGGGTGGATGGCTCCAAATGGCTTTGAGTGCCCACACACCCCAGCACCCCAGATGGAGGGTCAGTGGGGTCTGCATCAGAGTATGCCACCCTGTTCATACCCAGATACTTCCTGTGGACCAGTTGTCTAGGTGCCACTTGTGGACACTACCCATCATTTATCTGGCAGCCATCCTGCGTGGAATTTCACATTCCCACCTGCATCACAATTGGGAGTAAGGACTAGGCGTAGCTCTTTTGTTTTTTTAACTAAAGTATCCTTCACCTTATGAATATTCAGGTTCTTGATTGTAGGAGGCAGAGGGCAGTTAGGAATGCGCCAGGGATAGCCGTGGTACCAGTTCCCCGTGCCAGTGGAGCCCAGAGAACTGCGACAAACTGGCTAGTCTGACAACACTTTCTGTGGTTGTGCGGAAGCCGCAGAAAAAGTCGTTGGCTCCTTTTTCCTTTAGGAAGTGATGATACTTTTGGGAGGTCTCATCTATTTTATTTCACTTTGAGAGACACTCCATTAAGGACTTTTTTCCCCTGTGAAACCCCAAGTAAATATTGAAAGCAGATGTGTTTTTAAAAGCACAACTGCCTGGTCTGTGCCCCATGGGTATTTGCATTTCCGTAATCACTTGTGTGCAGTTCAGTGATCAGCAGTTCTTTACCAGAGGTACAGGGGAGAATCCATCTGTCTGTCTGTTACCTTCTGGTGCGACTGGTGATGAACTTGGTGTCTGATAGGTCTGAAACCCTTAATGAACTCTGTGCGGTTCTCATCTGCTTGCTCATGCGGCTGCTCTGGGACTGCCTCTGTGTGACATCTCTGGTCTGCGTGTAGGACCCACAGCTCCAGCAGAGCGAGGGCCGATCCTAACCCACACGCTAACTCTGACCCTGAGGCCCAGCTCCACCCTGCTCCCGTCAAGTCACGGTTACAGCAGACACTGGGCAGGCAGACGTGGTTCTCCTAGGACGTCCCTGTGCAGGGGATCAGGAGTCGCCTGGGGAACTGCTGACATTTAACTGGAAGAATCTGCATTCCTGCTTCCATCAGACATTTCTCTTGTAAAGAGTTAAACCTCGAGGTCCTACAGCCTGTTGACCTGAAGCTGAAGAAATAAACAGAACCCCAACTATCCGTTCACCTTTCCGAAGAGAAAACCAACACGGCCTCGGGAGGAAACCCCATGATTCAATACTACATAAATGGAATAATGGACAGAAGAGCATCTTAAAAACTGCAGACTCTTATATGAAAGACTAACTGTTGATTTTTATTTTCACATCTCAGACTACTTCCCACAATACATTTTGGTAATTTTATTTTTGTTGTTAAATTTATTCCAAATTTATATAATTTGGAGTCATTTTCAGTTTTTATAGAGCTCTTTTTTTCTTATTCTTTGTAAATGTACTGGGGAAAGAAACCTGTAACTTCTTCATTTTCGAAGTAATCATTTTAATTTTAAATTATTCCCAGCAGACGTTTTCTCTGTGACTATTTTTGTTCATTTTACCCTGGATGAACAGCGGCTGCGATGAAGACCTTGACGTGGCACCTGTCATGGAAACGGCCAGCATTGCCGGGGAGACAGCGGACACAGTCTCCAGCCGCAGCCGGCTTATTTGTATTAGTTTTCCCTGATGAGAGATACTGGTGTTTCAGCCTCTGACATCACATTTTTAAAACAGGAGAATGAAGTGTGAGAAAGCAGAGTCCTGGGATGTGGCGCGGTGGGCTCCACGGGGCTGTGGTCCAGGAGAAGTCTGGCATCTTCCTCTACTCCCAGAGAATAACCATCTTGAATATCCTCTCACCTTCACCCCTTCCCAAGTCAGTGTCTTGATTCCTCCTTCGTTCTTTCTTTTTCTTTCTTTCTTTCTTTCTTCTTTTTCTTTCTTTTTCTTTCTTCCTTTCTTCCTTTTCTTTCTTTCTTTTTCTTTCTTTTTTCATTTCTTTCTTTCTTTCTTTTTCTTCCTTCCTTCCTTCCTTCCTTCCTTTCATTCTTTCATTCTTTCTTAAGAAAGAGCTCCCGCTTCTGTCTGGCCCAGTGTGCATATCCCACGCCTCATACTTCTTCATTTTGCTCTACATTCTGCATTCCTGGAAGTATGATTGTACCCTTTACTGTTTCATTATGTTCCCTTTAGATTCATTCAGCGTGACTGTTTGGCAGTTAGCTGAATGCTGTGACATTTCAAAGTAACTCAGTATTGTGAGCTGGAAAAAAAAAGGAAGGCCAAGTTTTGTGCCTTTAGACATCTGGGTCCTCCTTTTCCAGAACTGTGGGAAGTTGTGTTCAGCTTTCCACTCTCCACCGGGAAAGGCATTAGTGCAGAAGCGGCTGCAGATAACCCACACATTTGTTCTTTGGTATTTGAAAGCTGTTAAAGCTGTATGGGCCTGTCCCCTAGAGACACAAACGAAGTGTTTCCCATGAATCATGCATCTTCTGTAGCCTGCACCATTCCTTCTAAGAACTTTAAGGTTCCACCTCGGCCTGCTAGAGGCTGAACGACCTGGAGAAAGACCTTGGCCTGCATCTCACGCCTGTCCGTGGCCTCTAGAACTGCTTGCTCTTGTCTTGCCAAGTGTAGGGATTAGCAGCCAACTGCCTTTCTTTCAAGGAAGCCTGGTGCATGTCGCTCCATGCTGTTAGAAGCTCCCTCGTATTGATTGCCAGCCTGTAGCTCTGTGACTTCCCGCCAGTGATGTGCCCCAGGAGGGCAACAGATCAACACAGCCGAAGGAGCAGGGCGGCCCCTAATCACAGAAGGATCCGCACCCTGAGTCTGTCATGCATTGGTTATATTGACTTTCATGGATTCCTCCCCTTTATTTTCTTTGTTTTTATTTACTTGAAAACAAGAGATAGGCAGATGGTGTGTGTCGCTCCCTAACGCTTCTAACAGCTGTGGTTATGCCAGGCTACAGTCAGGAGCCCAGAACTCAATCTGGTACTCACGTCGGAGACCAAGACCCAAGTACCCGAAGCACTACCTGCAGGCCTGGCTTTACAGGCTTAGGACTCGAATCCCGGTCCTTGGTATGGGGTGCAGCTGTCACGAATGGCAGCCTCTTAACAGCTGCACCTGCAGCCTACCCCAGAGACACACACATCCAGCTCATGTCTTTGTATCACTGCATTTTGAGCATCGTAATGATGTGATTAGGTGTAAAAATGATGGTCTCTTATTTTTATTTTTTACACGTTTGCTCATTTTTCAGTGATCTCAAAATATGCGGAGGGCCAGCATTGTGGTGTAGTACGTAAAGGCGCTCCCTACAATTCCGGGGCCCGCATGTGTTCATCCCCTAGCTGTTCCACTCCCGGTCCAGCTCTCCGTTAACAGCCTGGGGAAAGCCATGGAAAATGGCCCAAGTGCTTGGCCCCTGCCACTCCGACAGGAGCCCTGGAAGGCCCTCCTGACTTCTGGCTTGCATGGCCGTCAGAGGAATACACCAGCAGATGGACGAGCTGCCCCTGTTTATCTCTCCGTAACTCTTGACTTCCAAATAAATAAATGAATCAATCTTTTTTTAAAGAGTATTTTTAAAAAGTATATTTTAACTTACAGTGTTTACCCATTTTTTCTCACCCTCCTTTCTGGAGTAGCAGCAAGAATATCCTTATTCCTACATCGTTTCTTTCCAGAGTCTTCAATGCAGTGCTCATTTCTCTAGGAGTTAAGTTAGAGTCATAAAAACAATATGTCCATGATAACTCAGACTAATTCCAAAAGCCTGTAATCATCTGATAGATTAGAAGATGATCAATCAACTTGCCCAGATAGTGCAGCCGAAGGCCCGTTCCCACTTCCCCAGGGTGGCAGGCAGCTGCCTGTCCGTCTCTGACTCCTGCCCATCAGTGCCAGTGCAGCCGAAGGCCCGTTCCCACTTCCCCAGGGTAACAGGCAGCTGCCTGTCCTATCTGACTCCTGCCCATCAGTGCCAGTGCAGCTGAAGGCCCGTTCCCACTTCCCCAGGGTGGCAGCCAGCTGCCTGTCCTATCTGACTCCTGCCCATCAGTGCCAGTGCAGCCGAAGGCCCGTTCCCACTTCCCCAGGGTGGCAGCCAGCTGCCTGTCCTATCTGACTCCTGCCCATCAGGACCCGTATCTTGGTGCAGAAGGTCCATGTGATCTCCAGCAGCACCGCCTGTGGCACCTCCTGCCGGTCAGGTGTGAAGTTGCTGTTATCATGACTGAAATTACATCTCCTCTTGTGAGATTCAGAGGTTTCGGTATATTCTTGTCCTGGGTGAAACAGCCCTCACTCTAGCTGCTGGGCCCCGAGTGCATGGTGGCTTTTGTCTGTGTGTGGCCGGGTTTTTCATCTTTGGTGACCCAGACTTGTGTTCTTTTGTGAAGTTATAAGGGGCTTTCTAGCACGCCAGCACTTGCTTCAAAAAATGTGCATCCAACAGCAAGAGGCCACATCTGTCAGCAGCTTTCTACAGAACACAGAAGACATGGCACTGAAGACGTACGACGCCCTGCTCATTCAGAATGCCTCGGACATTGCCCGGGAGAATGACCGGCTTCGGAAGAAAATGAATGCTGCTCACCACAGAGAGAAGGTGGAGGCCAGAAGCAAGCCAGAGGAAGGAAACAGAAGGTAAAGACAGACAGGCTCTGATCGATCCAGTGGAGTCGCCCTTAATGGGAAGTTCAATCAAATATGACAGTGGTTCCAGGAACAGGCGTGTGTGGGCTATGGTGGGTCACAGGAGGTGTCCTGTGCCTCCTGCTCATGGCTTAGACACGGCCACATGTATGGCTTTGGTCATATAAAATATAACTATCCTTTCACCTGGCACGCTTGCATAGCTCAGCTTCCCCAAGGACGTTCAGGGTTTTAGGACATCAAATATCCCTGTTCTCATAAAATGATGCAGTTACACTGTGGATGTCTTGATAATAAGTGTCATGCGTTTAAGGCTGGCTTGTGGAAACCGGTAGAAATCTGGCCAGAGAATCAGGACACGTCACCGTGAAGGCAGATAAGTGGAGAACTCTGAATAAGCGAGTGTGCGTATTAGATTTCCCTGTGTCAACAGCCCCGTTCTCTGTGCCGGTAAGGAGAGCTTTGGGGAAAGCTTTTGCTCTGAAAGCTTGCTTTGTATGCCGAGCTGGAAATAGATCCACAAGAGTGCCCTGGCTTTCTCCCTTCTGTCACCATCCCTTCCCCATGTTTGACCAAGGCCCTCTCATGGAGACAGCCAGGGACCTGGCAGGGACCCGGCTCCTTCCCATCCTGGTTCACAGCTGGGCAGGTGCTCACCTTCCTGTGCACCTGCATGAACGCCTGTGTTCTCACTGAAGCAACTTTCCTTTATCAACTAATTTTTTGTTGTTGTTGTTGAGAGGAAACGGCAATGTGTCTCTTGTTAATTAGCTTCAAATATCTCAGTGATTAAATACTGAAAAAAAAAATCCCTTTGTACGGAAAACTGTAATTAAACATTACAGGGAAAACAAATTATCCCCGGAGTGCCATGCTGTCGTCTTCAGCCAGTTCATTTGCTACATGGGCGACTGGCTCTGTCTTCGTGGTTGATCCCAGCCCTGTTGGTGCTGTGCCACTGAGAGGTGATGATTATAAGAACGAATTGTCGCCAGCGCCATGTGACAGGGGCGCACTGTCTTCCCAGCGAGAGATTCCATCCCCTCCATCCCCGTGGGAAGCCAGGAAGGGGGTCTTTAAAAGCAGGAGAGCTGCTAATTCCCTAGGACTTTCAAGATAATATTTATTATTTTCCCTGCTGGAACTCCAACAGCCTCTCCATTTCTCCATTTGACTCAGTATTTACTTCCTGATCTGAAATCAAGTGCAGGGGCAGTTATCCGTTTAGCAGATGCCAGCAGCTCACTTGGCACGGGCTAGCCTGTGGCCTGGAGCAGGGAGGATTCTCCATGCCTAGCACTAAATAATCCCAAGCAGAATCTGGGTGAGGAAAGGACCGTCAGGTGCTCCCACACACACCTGGGTGCCTTTTTTTTTTTTCCAAGGGGAAGTAGTGATGAACTGGAAGGCTTTAAGGCATCAGTAACTCCATAGAGACCGACGTCCGTGAAATTATCATTCAGATTGGAATTCCAGCTCTTTCGTTTGCTTAATAATCAGAGTGTGAAAAATGCGTTCTCCATGCAGATCACAAGCGTGATCCCTCCGGGGGCAGGGGCAGCTTAGGCACCCAGGCGGCCCCTCTGCACGACCCAGACCTTAGGTCTGCTAAGTGGGTACCCGCACCCCCAGGCCAGCTAGGTAACATCTCTGGGCTTGGCTTTTGTTTCACTCTCAGACCTGAAGACAAGGCCGGAGCCCGGCGCGCGCAGGCCGCGGCGTCCGTGCGGTCCCTTTCACTGCACGCGGTGTCCAGTGTGGACGACAGCAGCGGCCTCCCGTCGCCCCGGAAGCAGCCTCCTCCCAAGCCCAAGCGGGACCCGAACACGCGGCTGAGCGCCTCCTACGAGGCGGTGAGCGCCTGCCTGGCTGCGGCGCGGGACGCGGCCCACGGTGAGCTCGGGGCGCGTGTGCGTGGGGGAAGCTTCTGGCCAGCTCCTGCTTCTGCGGCGGGAACAGGTGTGAAAGCAGGCGCGGGCCAGCGCGATGCTAGGTCTTGTTCCAGGTGGATCGTATTTGTTCTGATTGCCAAGCCCCTTAGGGCAAAGTGCCCCAGGTGCCATGGCTTGGGCCCACATCCCTGCCCCGTGGCTGTGCTGCGGCGTGAATGCGTGGGCGGCCCCTAGCCAAAGTCAGCCCCACCCCAGGTCAGAAAGCAAAGCCCAGCGCGTCCCTGGGGCCAAAGCTGATTGTGCCTAGCACAGCTGCAGTGCAGCCCTGATCACCTCTTGCATAGGGACGCCACCTGCACCTGTGGGGACAGCCGCTTTGCTTAGCGGTGGGCTCTCTCCCTGGCATCACCCACGCGGCAGCGATTGCTGAATTATTAATTCTTAGATCTGTGAAAACAGAGGGAGTGCTTCTTAGCAGAACGCTCACCAAGTAACAGAACTTACTGACCATCTGCCATGTGTGAGGCCCTGCTGGGGCCTCTGCAGGGTGCTTCCAAGGCGCCTGCGAACTCAAAGTTGCAAGTGTGAGCTTTACTGGCTCCAAATCAGCTTCAAATTCCACACAGCATTTTTTTTTTAATATGTGTGCCCTCCCCCCCCATTATGGGCGTTATTTCCATAAAAAGCCATGCTTTGCATTTGCTTTTCCACACTTTTTCAAGCTTGCTCATTCACATATACTTCTCTGGGCCTGTGTGTTTGTATGAATTTGGGTATATATGTATTTGTGTATACATGGACTTGCATGTACTCCTGTACACGCATGTGTGTTTGTATATGTGAGTATATATGCACATTGTGGACATGCACATGTGTAAGCACACTGATGTTCTAGCTTTTTGGCACTATGACAAAATACATAGGCCGGGTTGCTTTGTCTTGCTCAGTCTTGGATATTCCATGGCACTGGGCTAGCTCAGGTGAGGACTCTGAACCATCACGGGGCGACAGGAGAGGAGCTGTAAGGAGGCCGGGGCCATGTCTCAGTCCAGGGAGCAGGCCGAGCCAAGCTGAGACAACTTCTAGAACCACTCTGTCTTATGACCTAGCCAGGGTCCCCCAGGAAGCAGTCCTCTTCCACAGCTCTCTCTCAGTTGATCTAAGGACCCACTTCTGATCCTCTCAGCACCTCCCACTGCTGCCAGCTTGAACTCCACACTGCTGGCCAAGGGCCTGTGGAAGATGCGCCAACCGCAAGCAAGCCATAGCATTTAGTTAGATGCGCACAGATAAACGAGCTGGCAGCAACACGTCTCTTCGCTGCACACCACACCTTTTGTTGAAGTGCCCTCTTATTGACCTCACCCAGTAGTGAAGGGTAATCTACAACTAACTGCACATTTCAGATCGCTGCTGCAGAAAGGAAGAATAGGGCAGAGTGGCAGTGCCAGCTCTGGGCTGAGATGCTCAGTGCCATGCCAGTGTAGAACCATCAGAAAGACCCCTGAACCTGCGCTGGAACATGGCTGCTTTGGTAAATCAATGAAGCAAAGCCACAAAGACATAGCAAAAGCAGTGGCCTCAGCTTTGGGAAGTGACTGAGGTGTCACTGGGCAGAGGCAGAAAAAGTGAAGGTCTCCTGGTTTTCTTTGCAAGGCTCCACCAGTGGCTATAGGAGGGACTGGACCTGTAGAACATGCGCTCAGAACGCTGCTGTCCTACCACAACCCTTAGCTGATGGCGTGGTGCAAATTTGCAAGACTGGGAAAGAGTCTAGTGTGTGTGCATGTGTGCAGCCATGGTCACAAGGAGCAGGCTGGAGCAGTCTTCCAGGTGGACGTCAACCTGGACACAGGAAGGTGAGAGCAGTATCTCCCAAGAAATGAGATATTCTCCCTGTGAACCACGCACAAACCAGAAGATTACCAACCTGCAAGCAGCTTAATGCCTTCCATGCAGTCTCGGGCTGCTCCGTCGGTGGTCTGCGGAAAGGAGAGGCCCCAGGGCTGCCTTTGCACTTTCTCTTCCTTCCAAAGGTGCAGCCTTTCTCCCAAGCCCCACAAGAGTGCCTGCCGCCTTGGCTCCTGAGGACCAGAATTGGTACCTCTTGTATAGGACCCCATCCCCTGGGGTGAAGCAGCAGTATCGGAGAGCCCACAGCAAGGGCTAGGGCTGCTTGTAAAGCCGTGGCCTGGATACAGCAGGCACCCGGTGCAGTTACACAGCCAGAGGCTCGTCCAGACCCTTGATGGTCAGTTTTCTCATCTAAGGAATGAATACCAAGTGCTAAATGTGGAAGCTGAGACTACTGTAGAGTTGCTCAGAGGCTGCTCACGATGAAATTACAAGAGCAGGCTTTCTGGGGCAGCTCTCACCTCCTTCATGAGGCCCTTCTGTGTTGGTCCACACTGCCCCTCCTACAAATTCCCGTGGCCCCTTCTCTTAGAAACAACATGTGACTTCTGAAAAATGGTCGTACAGACTGCTTCGTCCACGCACGTGGTGGACGTGCTAACTACGCAGTGGGTGGTTCTGCAGTTCCCTGTGGACATCATGTTCACTTTCTTTCCTTTTACTGTCTTGTTTCCCCATAGCATGCATTCAATAAACACTTAATGAACACATATATAAAAATATATCAAAAAGTTGGTGAAAACAGAATTGAAACCTGAGTTTATTTTGGTGCAAAGATTTTGGACACTCGTGGGTAGTTTTCTCTTAGTAGGCGTTTTCTGTAATCTTTGTGAGCCTCCCTCATCTGCTGCAAAGTGCATTGTTGTGATGCTTTTATTTTAATGAAGTTAGCTTCTCGCCAGTAAATCAAAGGCAACACATTTTGGCCAGGTTCAGAATGTACCCTTGAGATGTGTCATACGTAGTTTGTCAGCGTATTTTTGGCAGAAACCCCTTTAAAGCAGTCTTTTCTAGTACCTGAACTTGGACAGAAATTAGGGTTTCCGTGAACGCGGTTCTGAGAAATGTATTACTGGAAATAGCAGGACAGGATTGCACAGCTCCCACCTCTGACGCAGCTGCTCATTCACCAAATACTAATTAAGTGTCTTCTGTGAGCCAGGCTGTCTCTGGGGACCTTACAGAGCAGCAGGGAGATGAATGGATAAACACATCATGTGCTAAGTGGAGGGAGGGCAGTGAGCTCAGAAGGCTGGGGGCTCAGCCAGGGAGTGAGTAACCCTTCCTGGAGTCTGGGCAGGCTCCAGGGGGATTCTGCAGCAGCAGCAGCAAGCAACAGAACAGTGTGTGAGTGGACAGTCTCGGGAGAGGAGCTAATGGTATTGCCTGGACTCCCCCAACCGTCAAAGAACAAAATGCCATAAGCCATTCTAGCTTAGCCCAGGTGGAACTGGTTGTTAACTTCACAGCCTTGAGGTCAGGTGGTGTCCTGGTGCTGTGCTAGTGCTAGATCTGTTCAGAAGCTAACCAAGGCAGCCTTGGGAGACTTGGGAAATGAAGGGGCTTCCACACCCAGATGCGCATGCTCGCTAGAGGAGCAAGCCTTTCAGTCCCTGCTTGCTTCATAGAGGTGACTCACAGGTGTCAGACTCCCAGTGAGGATAGCCACAGATCACTTGTGTCTTGGTAGTAGGTATGTGCATTGACAATCCTTTGTGCAAGATTCAAAGGGAAAGCTCTGTGTGGGGTAAAATATTTGTCCAGTAGTGGAACTTGAACACAAGTCTAGCTCATGCCGAAGCAAATCAGAGAAGAGTCCAGTAAGCGAATGAGCAGCTTAAGAACATCGTCTACGGAAACCCCCCGAAACCTCCGAAGTGCTTTCGCTGCGGAATCAGGGCATGCCTCATCAAGGCTTGTCAGTACGGGCACCAAAGACAGTATCCCAACTGCCAAGGAGATTACAGGGAATTTGAGTGCCCTCGTAGGCCGAGAACTCAGGTCAGCCATTTCCTATCCAATCTCCCACACGGGGTGGAAGCAGCCCAGAACCTTCCTCACAGGGTCTAATGACATTGGAGCAACAGCCAGGAGCCCTGAGTGGTCCTCAGAGAAAAAAGAATTGTAGATTTCCTTCTGGACTCAGGAGAGGCGCTTTCTGTGCTCCCTACTTAGTTCCAACTTTGGCTCCCAATCCTCTCTTGCACTGACCATCAGGGTTGCTCCAGAGCCCCCAAAATAAGCTCAGATACACAGAGAGAGACTCATATGGAGAGCTTAGGACAGGAGAAAGTCAGCTTGGCTTTTCCGAGACCTCACTAGGTAGGATGCAGTCAGTTATTTCTCACTAACTAGAGATTTCTCTGCACACTCCTAAGACTGTTCTACTCTTCAGTTGTTAATATATTGCTTGTTAGAGTTATCAGTCTGTTTTGATTATTCTGAAATGCACCAAGTTCTGTAAAATCTTGCTTGAATACTATAAACTGCTAAATATAATTTTAAAAAGAACTATTTTGACAACATATTCTAGAAATTCTAGACCCTGACTATCCTCTATGTGGCTGCCATTGTTACTTTAGTTTAGTAACTTGCCTAAGATAACCCTATAAATATTATCTCCCCCCCCAAATAAAAAAGAACATTGTCTAGCTCTTAAAATGTTAGAACTAGCCCTACGAGTGTCTTCTGATCACAGAATATCTTCCTGACTCCATTTCAATGACATTTATGCCTCAGTAGGAGGGGCTAACAAATAAAATCTCAATGGAATGCATTTTTAACATCCCTTAAGTCCTTGTTTGCAGATGAAGCCCCACGCATGCCCAGAAGCAGCCACAGATCAAGCTTGCTTGCACCTTTCTAACTGCGCCAACTGCAGTTTATGGAAAATGAAGATATTTTGTTTCCACTGAAGATTCAGGCAGCAGTGCAGGACCGTGGTCTGTGTGTGTGGTCAGTGAGGGGCCTTGGTGATCCCCATTGCTCAAGCAAGCCCACACATCAAAGAATGTTGTTCTGTCCGCGCCCGGGGGTATGACTGTGGTGTGACCTCTAGACGGGCCACAGAGCCACAGAGCCACAGAGCACCAAGCCTTGTACCCAGGCGGGACTCCAGAGCCTCTCTCCAAACAGGCATAACAGTGTCATGTACAAATGGCTTTCTGCCACATCTAAAACAGTTGCTTAACCACTCACCCAAACTTTGTTCTTCCATTGTCTCCCAGGCTCTGGCTGTATCACTCAAAGGCCTCCATGAAGTTACAGAGCCAGAATTGTCAGCGGCCCTGTCCCTGGCACGTCTTGGGACGGGGTTCTCCAAGGATCTCCATCTGCATATGGCTTTGCACACTGGTTGGGCAGCCTGGAGCTTCAGCTTCAGTTCAGTCCAACTGAGAAATGCATTTCCATGATTCCCACTTTCGGAATACACTCACTCCTCTCCCAGCTTCCCCAAATTTCCATCTTTCCTCACTTCAGAGCTCAGCTAACTCAGATCTGGGTACACAGGCCCCTGAAGTATACCACTCGACCCGAGATTGTGGCCTAAGTAAACCATAGCCACACAACCCACATAGGCCAGCTAAACATTGCAAAGTCAGGTGCTGCCCAGTGACCCTGTTGTGGGCAGTTCTCAGCAACACCAGGACACCTGCTGCCAGTGCCTTGGTAAAGATTTTGTCCTGGTATCGTACCATGACTCTCCATGATTCTTAGGCGTGAGTTCTGGAGTCACGGCTTTACCTTTGCGTTATGACCCAGGAGAGCCTGGTGTATGGGGCTACTGTTCTCTTCAGCCTAAAATCCCAAGGGACCACATTGTCTTCATTTTGCATTGCCTCAACTCTCAGGGATAGCAGATTCAATTCCTCTGAAAGCTTCAAGCATTTCTTGTCAACCAGATGCTAATCCGCATCTTTACTGCAAAGCTAAGTCCATACACCTGTCCGGGATCGTCTCTGCTCCATTTGGAGATCCCTGGAATAGTGGAGAAAATCACCTTAACATTCTTAGGAGGTTTGCATAGTGGAAAGGTCTGTGAAGCAAACCTTCAGTCTTTCTTAGGCCTCAGAGAATCTGACAGGCCTGTGCCAGGTTTGTCTTTAGATCACATGTTCCTGAAAAATGCTCCATTCCACCTCTGCCTAGAAGTGAGTTCTTGAAAATTGTTTACCACCTGGAGACCTGGCATCTGGGAAGTTCCGGTCCATTCCAGTCCATTGTTGGTTCTTTGCTCCAACTCTTTACTCCCCACTCTCCCCAGTTTGACTCTGTGCAGCTGGGAGAACCCAGCAAGCAGCACTCACAGTTTGCCTGAAAGCCTCCCAGCCGGCTCACCCCAGCCGTTCAATGAGCTTCCTGTTTTCCCACAGCCCTACATGGATGCATGGCCACACTTCCCACCGTGATTCACATGTTGCCTCCAACATCTTCCTTGCCCAGAGCTTTCTTCAGGGCCACCGTGCTTCTGCCGACAGTCCCTCTAATTTCCCTGTTTTGATAATAGCGACCATCTTCCGGGTGCCAGGCGCTGCAGTAATTATCTCACTGTCATGTAAGAGCCCCCTCCAGAAGGCAGTGTCTTAGGTCCAAGGGTGGTGTCCATGACAGCTCGTGGTCCTTTAACTGGCTGGGCTACCCTCTGCAGTTGCACCTGGCTCTGGTCAGACAGAAGCTTGGCTCATGGCTGAGTGCTGGGCTGGGAAAACGCAAGTGGAGGCCAGAACAGCCAGGGTTCTCTGGCTGCCCTCTGCCTCTCCACACAACCTCTGCACGGGTACTCTAAGAAGCCCTGCTGCTTCAGGGGGTAAGGATTCTTAGAGGGAAGCCGGGGCACCCAGGACGTGTGCCCCAAAGGGCAGGGATCAGGCAGAAGCTGTTGGGCTCTGGCTCCACCACAGTCGCAGGAAATATCATCTTCTCAAATTTGTATTTGTTGGGCAACCACAAGGATTCTCCCAGCTTCAGTATTCTGGAAGAGACCAGGAAAAAAATTACAGTCTACCACAATTCCTCTGAATTATTCATGTCTTTAGAAGGACTCTGTGCTGCTAGTGTGAGAAGGACTGGACTGGTTCTGGGAGAAGCTCATGAGCTGTTGTTCAGCACATTGATAGTCATCGGAATAATGCATATTAATTAAGGAATTGTGCACCTGGGTATTCGATTCTTACAAGTTGCCACTTTGGGGAGTCTTGCATAATGTTGGCATACAAAAATGTCCAGTGAGTCAGGAAATTAGCTTTATACCTTTGCATGCACACTTGACCAATCCCCTTTTATTTTGTACTCACAGTGTGCCTAGAACTGAGATGAGGACTTTGTACCTAGCATCTGTTGTGTTCCTTTGAGATGGCTGTGAGCATCAGTGTACTGTGGATGTGTCCACCCACAGCATGCACTGGCCCTCCCTCAGGCCTGTTTGCTGTCCTTCTCGGGAATATTAGAGTTGTCTCGTTCGTTGCATTTCCCTCTGTTGTCTGGCTGCTCTCAGTAGAGCAGAGGAAGGCAGGGAGCGTTTGCTCTTTATTCACTGAGTCTCGGGAGATACTGCAGAATTGCAGAGAAGTGAATGAAGGATTGGATGAGCTCTGGACACAGGGCTGCCTGACTCAGCGGCTTCTCATCTGCATGATTCTGTTTCCGCAGACTGGGACACCAGGTCTGTCGGAGGGCACGGTCACTGACGCACAGCTATGACTGCCTTACTTAAATAACTCAGGAAAAGGACAAAATCCCCAGACTCCCAATATACCGAATTAGTAAAATAGTCCAGGACTTCTGTGCAGGGAAATCTCAGTAAACATGCATGTGCCTTTTCTAGTGTTAACATCTGTGTGTGCAGAGAAAGTACGTGTAGTAATGGCATTATTGCAATTTATAGTGAGAATATGTTAGAGGAATGAGACAGTGTTGCTTGTTCTGCCTAGCCTGTAGTAACTGTGGCTGGACTTGTCTTGAAGAAGATTGGGCCTTTTTCAAAATTACTAATACGGGATTTCTTCCTTTTGCAAGTTCGCATGGAAGAAGTTCTTAGCAACATTTTCCACCCTTGGCTTTCTTTTAAATATCTGTCTCTGTCAAGGATTCACGTGTGGCACATCAGTACAGCCCTTCTCCAGTTGCCGCATCCGTAAGGACGTGCTAGTGGCTAAACTCTGTCCATGGCACAGCGCCAGCTGACGCTGCTGGCTTCCTGCAGGCAGTGTCCACAGGCCCTGGAGACGCTCGCTGTCCGGGTTCCTCATCCCCAAGTCCGGGAACGCGAAATCCTACCAACAGGGTCGTCTCCAAGGGCTCGTTACCCTGCTCCATCTGGGGCTTCTTAGGAGGGCATTGTAAAAGTCTCTGACCAGAAGCAAATAGAGTTTTTCAGGTCGACACAGGTTGGAAGTCCTGTAGCAGTTTTCTCATGGTAGGCACCTTCCCTGAGCCTTCTACACTCTTGCATGAATGGATTTCAAAACATGTTGCACCGCCTACATTTAACTGTATTTTCAGTTTCCCTTGTAACTTTTCAGTCGGCCGATACTCCTTGGGATTTGTTTTCCACCTGACATCCTTCCTGGAGGGCTGGAAGATGTCTTCCACTCTCATGCTAGCCAGAGTGTGCAGAATTTGACTTGGCCAAAATCCTAGAGGCAGACCAGGGTCCTGTGTCCCACAATCAGGGGTTGGCCCCTGGGAGGTAACCTTGAGTCCCTCTGTTCCCCAGGCCGGGTCCCCTGTGAGGCAGACCGGGGTCCCCGCATCCCACAGCCGGGACTCAGCTCCTAGGAGGTGGCCTCTGCTGACCGCCCCCTCTGTTCTGCTCCAGCCCTGTCCCGGCCACGGCCACACAGCGATGACTACAGCACCATGAAGAAGATTCCTCCGCGGAAGCCCAAAAGGAGCCCGCACACCAAGCTCAGCGGCTCCTATGAGGAGATCTGGGGTCCCCGGCCCACGAACGGGCCGCCTCCAGGCCCGGCAGGTGCTCCCCCGGCCGTGATGGCGACAGAAGCTGAGGACGCGGACGCAGAGCCCGTGTACATCGAGATGGTGGGAGGCGCGGCAGCGCGGGCCGGCCCAGGGCCTGGCAGCCCAGAGCAGGTGGAGGCCGTGTACGAGGAGATGACCTTCGGGCTGGCGCCCGCGGGGCCCAGCCACAACACCAGTGACATCCCGCCGCCCTTCCCCAACCTGCTCCCGCACCGGCCACCACTGCTGGTCTTCCCACCGGCGCCGGCCACCTGCTCTCCCGCCTCGGATGAGTCGCCCCTGACGCCCCTCGAGGTGAAGAAACTGCCGGTCCTGGAGACCAACCTCAAGTACCCCGTCCAGTCCGAGGGCTCCAGCCCTCTATCCCCGCAGAATTCCCGAAACCCCAAGGCAGAAGGCGACAGGCCCACGTCTCCAGGTTTGGCTGCGCTTGACGGGGCCGGCCAAGGCTCCCTGCCGCCGCCATCCACACCACCACCCCTGCCACCACTGCCCGCTGCTCCCCGGCCGGCCGCGTCCTTCGTGTTCCCGCCCGACACCGTCGCCGTCCACACTGGGAGGGCGATGGCCACTGCGGATTTGTGCAAAGGGCCTCCGAAGCCTAACTCTGCCCCAGCTGGAGGCCCGTGCAGCTCTTTCGCCAAGGTACCCTGCTCGCCGGCCCGGGCAGCTCGAGGCAACCTCAGGAAGGGCAGCTGCGATTCCTCCTCGTCCCCGGGCCCTTACAGCCCCCCCGGCTGCAGACCCGTCTCCAGCCCCCTGGACGAGCTGACCAGCCTCTTCAGTTCCGGCCGCTGCGTGCTGCGCAAGTCTGCCGCGGGAAGGAGAATCAGGGAGGCGGAAGGTAAGCGCACCCTCTTTGTGCATTGTGTATGTCTCTGCACACAAGCACCCCTGTGTGCGTGGGGGGTGGGGTGGCCCTTCAGTGCAGGTGCAACCCACATGGCCAGGCAGGTAAGAATCAACGTTCCATAGAGCAAAATTAGACATTCCAGCTCCTGATACAGAAGTAGAATTAGTACATTGTCACAGTACTTAGAAGAGCAAAGTTGCATTGTAACTTCTGGTTTCTTGGTGGTGTGATACCTCACAGTGCTGGTTTTCCTGGTTCACCGTCCATCATGAACTTCTGGGTATCCCTCTCCTTGACACCAGCCCCGGGACAGCAGCTGGGGGTGACTGTGGGGTGACCACCTCCTTTGGTACCTCTCACTTGGCACTTCGGAAATTCACTGTGTCTTCCATCCATGCGCTATGCCAGAAACAGCTGAACTCAGGCAGGCTGACACCTGTGTTTTCTCACTGGTGGGTTTTCTCTGGGTTTTTTAGCCAAAGGAGCTGTGTGTACTTGAAGGTGCACTGGAGTGGGCTCGGCCCCAGGCTGGGGCGCCAGAGACTGGCCAGCCTGTGCGCGAGTGTGTTTGGTCTCCATGCTAAATCACAGCGTAGCCAGCACAAGGATCCTCTTTCAAAATGTTGTCTAATCTCTCCCCAGCAGCTCAACCTGTGCCACCTTGCCCAGGTCTGGCTGCCTTGGTGCCGAGTGTACTCTTTGTGATCACAGGAAATTGTATCATCTTCCAAAAAGAGGGAGTGGGCAATGGTCTCATGAAGATAGCTCCTCCTGTTCTGTCTTTGGGGAAAGAAGGGCAGACATGAGAAGTGCCCTCTCGTGACGGACTTGCAGCAGTGCCCGCAGAGCCGTGTGCCTCCCTCTGCCCCGAGACTGTTGGTATCCGCACCTGGCAGACAGGAGACTTTAGGGTGGAAAGTGATACTTCGTCCCTGGGAGCAGGTGGTGGGATGGGACAGGAGAGTTTGATTAGTGGTGCAACATTTTAGTTACACATCAGCCTGCTCCTTCTCCAAAAGAAGACACAAACATACCTACTCTTTTTGTCATTTAAGAAGGAAATTATTTTCACTGTGAAAACTAAAAGATCCAGGAAGCACTGTAAAGGAGTACAAAACAGGTCAAGACTGAGAACCTTAGCAAATGAGTGAACAAGCCGTGTTGTTCTCAGACCAAAAGAAGCTAATTGTTTAGCTGATGGGTTCTTAATTATAGGCCATTAATGAGCGAAATTATACTTCAAAATAGCAGAATGCTTAAATTTTTCAAGTTATGTTTCATTCTAAGGTCCAAAAAGAAATGTAAGAGAAACCATTTTTAAAAATAGTATTTGCTTTAAAACCCAGTAAGCCTCATTTGACTATAGATCAGAATTGGGCCAACTCTTGTTTTATTCAAGGAGATGTGGTTAAAGAATTCCAGACCAAGAGTCAGAGGCTCAGAGAGAGGAGAGGAGGCTCCCAGGCCTGTGTGTAAATTTCTCTTGGTCTCTCCCAGTGGTAACATCCATGTATCAAAACGCCTAGTAACAACAGTTTCTTCAACTCGAAAATTACAAGACATTTACTTTCCTACCGAGGGCTCTTTCAGGATGCCTTCCCAATTTGAAAAGATTGGTTTGAGCCATTGATGATTTCCTCATAAATACATGAATTGGCAGCTTTTGTCATTAACACAGTGGCTGATACACAGAAAATTCTGCCAAACGAGGCTCTACTGTTCCCACACACCAGATTACAGGAGCTTTGATGACACACTGGAGGACTCTGTGAGTCTCTGCGGTCTGTGATGAGAGGAATGATGCTGTTATGGGGTACTTAGTGTGGGTTATTCCTGCAGAAGGTAAGAGGGTGAAATATGGAAAGGGAAAATGCTAGTGCCGAGTGCTAAAGCTGCTTATGCGATTACCATGGTTTATGCAATTTAATCCTGAGGTCGATAATCCACTTTCTTCAGCAGGACTTGAGCAGCTGTTGTTTGGGACTTACTGTAGACTCGGGGTTTGCATCCTCTCACATTCTCAGCTCCCACTTTACCCTCGTAAGAGCCAGCTTTACATTCACCTGAAAGAACAGTCCTACCAGTTAGCACGGGTGTGTGTGTGTGTGTGTGTGTGTGTGGTGGATTCAGACCACTTCTTGTACATGTGAACTGCGAGGCAGTTGCTCTGTGCTCTGCAGAGAGAATCACACTGGCCCTTGCTCTTTGGACCGACATGCCCAGGAGATCCTGGCTAGATGCATTCCTAGCTTAAAGACGATGGTTCCCCGAGGTCTTCTGGTTGGTGCTCTGGCCAGCTGCTGTCCCATAGACATGCCTGCAGGAGGATTTCAGGCATTGGCCGTTGTTTCCTGTAGGCCCTGGCATATGCAATTTGAGGTGTGCAATCATTTACTCCCTGAGAGCCTGGAACACCCAGAAAATGTGCTTCATGTATACCTGGCCTTGTGCCCCGTAATCCAGTAGATCTACCTCACGCTGTGAGCTGACATCCCCATCTTATAGAAGGGAAAATTGAGGTTCCCAGCTGGGGGTCACCTTGCTCAGAGTTACCCAGGCCATGAGAGACGGAGCATGTCTTGAACATGCTGTCTCCAGACTGCTGCAAGAAGCTGCCAGAAGAACGGGAATGGAAGGAACTGTGGGCATCTGTGTGGGCTCACCAAGGTCCGACAGGTAAGCCCACAGTAAGGATGGGGAGCTGTGGCCTCAGGCCCAGGACAAGGGCCTGCTCTCCCTGGAGCGCACCTGCCATCCCTTGGCCTGGCTGTAAGTGGGGTTCAGTGGTTCTTTGTGTGTGCATTCTACTTACAAGGACCTGTCAATTCTCAGAATGTCCCACATCCCATTCCCTGGCTGGGATCACAGTACCGAATACTTGCAGATCCTTGGTTAAAAAAAAAAACAGTAGCTGAGCCCCAGTTGTGATTGTGAATCATGGGCCTCGTCGCCTGGTCCGAGCCATTAGGGTATTCCCTGAATGTGGATGGAGCCCACTAGGCTGCTGCCTTGCTCTGAAAGGCGTCTTGAGATGTGTGTGTCCAGGATTCAGAAAATCTGTCTGTGACTCCATTGAGATGTGACAGAGGGCAGTGTGGCACAGGAATTTGAAGAAAACAGGGGAGAACAAGGGTGAATTAAGGCAAATTCTGGTCTGTTGAGTATGCTTAAAAATAAGTTTATTTATTTTTAATGGAAAGGCAAATTTTTACAGAAAGAAGACACAAAGAGCTTCCATCTGCTGATTCACTCCCTAAATGACAGCACTGGCCGGAGCTGAGCTGATTCAGTCCTCATCCAGGGGCTTTTCCGGGTTGCCCAAGGCCTTGGGCCCTGCTCTGCTGCTCTTCCAGGCCACACGCAGGGAGTTGGGCTGCAAGTGGAAGAGCTGGGACATGAACCAGTTCCCATATGGGATGCCTCACTTGGAAGTAGAGGATTAGCCAGTTGAGCCATGCACTGTCCCCCAGAATATGTTTTTAATTGCTTCAATACTTTCCTACTCTGCGCATCTTTAGCTTCTGAAATGCAAATCGGAGCTTAAAATGATGAAAGCAAACCTGCTGTGAAACATAGGATTTCTTATCCCATGGTAGAGGCTGTTAAAACCGTCCTGGAAAAGATGGCAGTTTGACCCAGAAACGTATTTTATGGATTTAACCCTCATGCCGTTTCTCATAAAAATCACTTCAGCTAAAGTGAAATTACTGATAATTTCAGATATCTCTTTGATTACATAAATATTCCAAATGAGAATATTTGAGTTGAAGTTTTCGTGTTATAGAAACAATTTTTTACACTCTGATATTTTAATTCTGTAGGGCCATTTATTTTAAAAGGAGTGCTTTTTTTTAAGTTTGCCTTATGGAAAATTCAAACATATGGAGAAGTAGAGAGAAGGCCCCGGGATACATTCCCAGGCCAGAACTGTAACCCTTTCTGCCTGTCTCCTTGCTCAAGCACTGAATGAGTTCAGAATGAATCCCACTGTCAGGTCACTCTGTTAATAAATAGATAGATATTTTATCATAGGTATTGTTCAAGAGGGAGGAGATACTTAAGCCTCCATACTTGGTGCAGTCCGGTCTGTCCATTCCAGTCTTTGCTGACGTGAAGCAGCAGTAAGAGCCAGAAGCCCAACTATGCTTTTACTTCTGAAGGGCCAGCGACCTAGTGAAACAGCATTGCCCAGTCATGCTTCCTGTCTGACCTTCAGTGCTGGGTTCCCCCCGCATGGGCGGCCCATGCAGAGGAAGCCTGCCCAGTGCTGGGTTCCCCCCGCACGGGCAGCCCATGCAGAGGAAGCCTGCCCTTAAAAAGAAATGTGGGTTTCCAATGACAACATCAAAACAATATGGAAGATCACAACAGCATGACGGTTACATGGCAAGCCAGTGTTTCAGGGGCCTCTCTCTCCACTACAGAGTGGTTCCCACACCATGACAAGCAACACAAAGCATGGGACACCTGCAATGCCCAGTGTTGCCAGCAGAAGCCACCTGGCGGGCAAGGGCAGCATTGGCCGGGGACCATTCCCTGCCCTTGGTGTCTGAAACAGAAGCTCCTGCAGCACGTGGAATCTGTGCTGCAGCCTGAGAGCTGACTGCCTTATGCAGATCTCTCCTCTGAAACAGGATGAGGAGTCGACTCTGCCCCCGCCCCCCGACTTCTTGTCTGCATGCAGACCTGGCGTGCTGTGTCCTACCCAAGGTGGTATATGTTTCTCTCCCCGTGACTGAATTCTCTCCGTGGAGGTTTATTTGTTGGGGAGGGCTGGAGGGGTGCATAGGGGCATGTGAGCCTCATCCTTGCCTGTCTACTCCACTTTGGGTTCAACTCTCTGCTTGTGGCCTGGGGAAGCAGAGGAGGGTGGTCCAAGCCCTTAGACGCCTGGGAGACTGCAAAGAGGCATCTAGCTTCTAGCTTCAGATCAGCTCAGCTCTGGCCTTTGCTGGGAGGTGAGCCAGCAGATGGAAGACTTCTCTTTCTGA